AGAGAGAGAGATAGGAAGAGAGAGAGAGAGAGAGAGAGAGAGAGAGAGAGAGAAAATACACACGTACATGCACGTAGCGAGAGCGGAACCACGTCCAGAAAGAAATAATTACTATTTTTTACTCAGGGAGAGAGAGAAAATTTGTCGTGAGGCGTGATCGGAATGAGATCGGATTGCAGCGCGTGGTCGGGGATGATAGAGGCAAAGATACGAATTGGTGTTGATCACATTGATTTGCGATAATAAGCACTTACTACGTATATATATATATACATTACTATTGCTGCTACTTCCACTACTACTTCTACTACATGTTATTGCACATGCATATTATTGTAAATCATTGATTATGATATAATTTTATTCATCCGTAGTGATCATTGGGCTATTAATTACATGATTATTGCGATTGCTAATTGGCTAACAGCGCACGAACCACGTGATAGGCATTCCCCCTCGGCGACGCTGCCACCAGAAAACAGGTTATAACATGAAACAACCCTTAACGCTAATCATCCGCACACTAAATCATGTACAATATCGTGCAATAACACTTACAACAACTGCTGCAACGATAAGTCATCCAATAAATTTCGTATCATTCCCGGCAAAAAATCACGCAACAAATCATTTCCCCAATTCGTACAACACATGCACCACGCAACGAATAACACACCAAATCAAACGGTAAATTATAGCAGAAAATTAAACAGCAAATCACACGACAAATATAACAAGAAAACGTGCCAAAAACTACGCAAAAAAACGACGCAACGAAATGACGCAACGAAATGACGCAACGAAATCACACAACGAAACCACACGACAAAATCACGCGATCGAACGTTCTAAATCCGCGTCTCGTTTCACCCGTCCGGACGTCGCCGCGTCGCCTACCTTTCTATCCGGTTTCGTCGCCGACTTTCCGACCGACGTCACGAGTGCAGCCGACGGCTTCACGTCCTGTAGACTATCTTCCTGCATCGTATCCGGACTGGACGACTGACTTTACAACTGCTTTCGTCGTTCACGATGCAGCGATCGACTCGCTCATGAAACAGTAGTATATAGAGCGGGCAATGCGTCTTCCGCTAACGTAGGTATAGGTATATATACCGTACGATAGGTCCCACACCTGCAAGTGTATGTGTGTTGTCTTGCGCTCCCTCTCACACACACACACTCTCTCTCTCTCTCGGTCTGTCGCTGTGGTAACGGCTGCTGCGCGTGTATAAGGTCACCAGAACTTGCAGTCCGATGAGCGTGTGTCTCTAACTGCGCGCCTCAGGTGTGCGTGGCGGTAAATATACGCATCGGTATCAAACGACACACGCGCGCGCGCGCACGTACGCCCGCAGCCCGGGTCCCGCGTACGTGGGCAGGTAAGATGCACAAGGTGCGCCTCACAGATGTCCCTTCTCAGGTGAGTCACGCCGGACACAATGACTGCCGGATGATAGTCGCTCTGTTCTACCGTTCTCTCTCGCTCTGTCTCGCCGCTCCTTCTTGTCGTACGCTCGTCGGCACGCCCTTGTCACGCACGCACGCACGCACGCACGCAAACGTATAAACACGTACACGGGTACATATATACATGCACTATAGGCGCGCACACGCAAACACACCCCGCTCGCGTGGCTATGTGCATTGGAATGCGGCTATCCGCCGCTCGGTCGTTGCCTAAACCTATCAGTCACGCTCCGCTAGTCCCTCCCCCTCCCCCTCCCCCTCCGCTGCCTCCCCCTCCCCCCTGCCTCGGTCAGCGGCGGCGCGGGGCCGCACGCGAGAGAGAGAGGAAGCGCGCGCGAACCGAGGAGAAACGGCCGCTGTTTGCAGTGGCTCGGCGCTCTCGTGTCACGCATGCGCCCGCTAGCCAATCAGCGTCGATGGGGGCGTGGTCAGGCGGTGTGTGCGGCGCGCGGACCCAGAGGATCGCGTGCGTGCTGCGCGCGTATATCTGTGCCGTAGACACGATTACGTTTTTAGCGTGTGGGTGACGGTGACGTTCGATGGGAGGGGGGGCACGGGGGAGAAGGAAAGGTTAGGTATGTATATTACGGATATGCGAGAAATAACACGAGAGAACTTTTCAAAAATTTGAAGTTCTAACAACTTAGCGATACACGCACGAAAGCGCGCATGCGCACACGCATACGCACGCACACCCACAGATATGCACGTATGCACGCAGGCACACGCACACACACACGCACGCGTATACGCACGCGCACGAACACACGGGTGGCATTGTGCATGCGGCACGTATTAGCTGGTGTCGCTAGGTAGGCAGGTAGGTAGACAGGCAGGTATAGAGAGAGAGCTTTACTCGGTGGTATGTGTGTCGGGCATGTTAGTCAGCGTGCGTCCGGTGCAGATGCGGGACGGCGCCGGCGCTGTGACGGCCGCGCTGATGGCCGCGTGCGAGCGGGGCGCGTGTCTCCCCCTCCACCACATACCCACGCTCTCTTTCACTCGCGCTGGATGTGGTGTGTGTGTGTGGTGTGTGTGTGGAGCGTGTGTGTGTGAATTGTGTGTGTGTGTGTCGTGTGTGGTATGTTGTGTGGCGTGGTTGTGTGGTTGTGTGTGTGTGGGCCTGACGCGGCGCGAGGGCGTGTGTGTGTGTGTGTGTTGTGTTGTGGTGTGTGTGTTGCCTGTGTGTTGGTGTGTGTGATGTGTGCTGTAGGAGTGTGTGTGTGTGGTGTGTGTGTGTGTGTGTGAGTGTGTGTGTGTGTGCTGCGCGGTGTGTGTGTGTAGCGTGTGTGATTTCTGTAGATGTGTGTGTTGTGTGATGTCGTGTGTGTTGTGTTGTGTGTAGTGAGTGTGTGTTGTGTGTTGTGTGGCGGCTATGGTGGTGTGTGTGTGCTGTGGTGTGTGTTTATGGGAGTTGTGGTTTGTGTGTGTGTGTGTGTGATGGTGTGTGTTGTGTGTGTGTGTGTGTGTGTGTGTGTAGGAGTGTGTGTGCGTGTGTGCGCGCGCGCGTGAGTGTGCGTGTGTGTGTGAGTGTGTGTGTGCATGGGCGTGTGTGTTTGTACGTGTGTGCGTGTGTTTATGCGTGCGTGCGCATGTGTGTATGTACGTGTGTGTGCGCGCACGCGCGCATACGTGCGCGCGTGCGCGCGTGCATGCGTGCATGCGAATGTGCGAGCGTGTGTGCGTGAGATTGCAAACTGACTGCGTGGACTACAATATATTCCCGCCCTGATATACGATCGGCTAACGCGCTGCGCACGTAGAGTTCCATGGCTGAGCACCGTCACGTTATGCTGATCTGCCGCTATTTACTGCCGCCGCCTGCCACTCCGGCCGCACAATGCAGCGACCGTATTTTACAACTCGCGCTAAAAGAAATACGCAACGCGACAACAACATAAAGCAACAGGCTCGCTCGCGCACGCACGCACGCACGTACTCACGCACGCACGCGGCTAGTGGCAGTCGGCCCGCACAGTTATACGTGTCTCGTTTTCGGCGAAAATGAAGATGGATATTTTTACGACACGTGGCAGAATGCGCTTCCGGCCCAGCCGTAAAGGAAACATAACTCTCGTTGCTATGGGAACGCGAATCAACATGGCGGCCTGGGTCGGGCGTGGTCGGCCATTTTTATTATAAATGACGCGCGAGTAACCTAAATAAACGACTAATATATACATGACATATATATGTATATATATATATATGTGTGTGTGTGTGTGTGTGGGTACACCACGTGGCAGGTGCGCGCGCGCGCGCGGCAGCGCCGCGCCGTGTGTGTGGTGTGTGTGTGTTCGTCGTGTGTGTGTGGTGTGGTGTGTGTGTGTGTGTGCGTGTGGTGTGTGTGCGTGCGTGTGTGGCGTGTGTGTCGCGTCGCTGCGTCGTGTGTGGTGTGTGTGTGTGGTGTGTTGTGTGTGTGTGTGTGTGTGTGAGTGTGTGTGCTGTGTGTATGCGTTTGTGTAGTGTCGTGTGTGTGTGTGTGTGTGTGTGTGTGTATGTGTGTGTGTGTGTGTGTGGGCGTGTGTGTGTGTGGTGGTGTTGTTTTAGTATATATATGATATCATTATACTATAGAGAGAGAGAGAGAAGCGAGAGAGAGAGAGAGAGCAGGGAGGGAGGGAGGAGAACAGGAACAGGTGGCGGTGGCACGGGGGGGGGTACTAAGACAATGGATGACAACTTACGTCGGGCTAAAAATAGTCATCATAAAATCGGGGCTCGGGTGGGCGCGCGCCTCCGTGTTATAGATCATCATAACCTCCGTGTTCTTGCTCTGCACGTGATTTTGACCTTGCGTTGCGAATCTCACGGTTACAACAATTGACAGAAATTTATTTCGAGTAATTCTTTACAGAGAAACCGAGGGCAAAGCGCGTCGCGCCTCACGCGCTGCCGTAACTAAGTTTACATCTCAGCACACACACACACACACACACACCACACACAACACACGCACACAGCACATGCACACCGCACACACTCACACCACACCACACACACACACACCAGCACACGCACACACATACACGGACAAGCACGCACACACACACAGCTCACAGCACGCACACACTTCCATACCACGAAACACACCGCACACACGACGACAGGGCGCGCACGGGCCAGACACGCGCTGGCGCGCACACAGCAGCACCACCGGCACACCCACCAGCACGATACACACACACGTGCCGCCACGCACGCGACGCCCGGCACACACACACACACACACATATACAAGCAAACCACACACACACACTCACACACACACACACACACACACACACGAGGTATATATATATATTATATATATATATATATATGCAATATAACATATCACGTATCACCTACGCGGATATTCCTACGTGTGTTTAGCAAGGCGACGTCACTCGTGACACCCTGATTTACAATACTTCATAATAGACTGTACCCCGTCCCAATACACCTATACCAAACACACACACAGCCTCTCTTTCCCCCTTCCCTCAAAAATCAGACGTCGACGGTGTGGGACTAGACCCAACACGCGGGGCGACGTATGCGGGTGGCCGGACGATGAGCCGACGTGTTTTGACAGCCGACGACGTGGGCATATCGCGATGATATACGGACAGCGGGAGATAACGGTAGATAGCTGTGACGAGACATCGTCTCATCTGAGTACACATGACGGCGCGACGTCATCGCTTAGAGTACGTGGGAAAGGTAAACAGCGACGAGTGTATTGTGACATTTGATATATGAATATTGTTGATCATGTGGGTAAGGGTAAGGGGGGGGGCTGGGTAACTGGGAGTTCTAGTGGTGGGTTGCTGTGTCGTCGTTCTTCTCCCCGTACATTTCTTCTTCTTCTTCTTCTTCTTCTTCTTCTTCTTCTTATTCGTCTTCTTCTTTTTCTTCTGCTTCTTATTCTTATTCTCTTTCTCTATATTTCGTTTTCCGCTATCTCATACCCTCTTTCTCTCCTTCTTTCTCTCTATCTCATTCTTCCTTTTTCCCTTTCTCTTTCTCTCTCTCTCTCCCACATCCTCTCTTTATCTTTCTTTCTATCTAGCCCCCTCCCAACTCTCTCTCTCTCTCTCTCTGTCTCTGTCTCTCTGTCTCTCTCTCTTTCTCTCTGTCTCTCTCTCCTTCTCTCTGTCTCTCTTTCTCTCTTCTCTCTGTCTCTCTCTTCTCGTTTCTGTAACCACTTTCGCTATCTCTGCATTTTTCTGCCGCTGCTTTAGCCCTTTTTCCTTCTCTCTCTCATCTTCTTCTTTTTTCTCTGCCGTCCCTGTGTGTGTGTGTGGGGGGGGTGGTGCCTAGTCTTGCGCGTGCTGATGTGCGTGTGCGGCGTGTGCGTGTGCGTGTGTGCGCAGAAGCGCGGTATGTGTGTGTTGTGTGTGTGTTGTGGTGATGTGTGTGTGTGCGTGTGTGTGTGTGTGCGTGTGCGTGCGTTGCGGTGTGTGTTTGTCGGTGTGTGTGTGTGTGTGTGTGTGGTGTGTGTGTGGCGTGTGTGTGCTGTGTGTGTATGT